ATAATCTCAATCTCATCTGAATCTTATCTCAATCTCATCTGAATCTAATCTCAATCCATCATCTGAATCTAATCTCAATCTCATCTGAATCTAATCTCAATCTCATCTGAATCTAATCTCAATCTCATCTGAATCTAATCTCAATCATCTGAATCTAATCTCAATCTCATTCTGAATCTAATCTGACTTCATATTCGAAAACATCTCTATTTATACTAGAAGAATTCCGCTAGAATTGCAGAATTTGGCAGAAAGTGTGATGTCATAAATAACAGTGACAGAATTCAGCAGAATTCTGCAGAAATACATACAGACATATTCAAAGATTATCTTTCAATTAAACAGGATATACAAAATATTACATAATAAAAGCAATTACCTAAGATATGACATAATCTGTAAAACATCGTCTGTCAACTGTCAAAAACCCAATGTTTACCAATAAGAAAAACGCCCACGAGAAATCAATGACGTAGAACGCATAAATCAATGACGTAATAGACATAAACGTAACAGGTACACATAAATGTTGTAAACATGCCGGTAACTCACTATCAGCCAAATTATCCAATATCTTTAGAAATTGACGTTAACAGTAGATGACAATTATAAACAGACATACAAAAATGTGGATAAAGTTTACCGCTAGAAGGTAATTCAATCTTGAACTTTATATTGAACGGTAAAAGCTTTATCACTGAGATTAAAAATAATGTAAACAATACCCCACCCACTTTTAAAACCATTAAATTATACGGAGTTTGCACATAAAAATACTCAATTAAAGAATAAAGTAAGCAGGTGAATTATTAGATCACCTGATCCCTGCAATATCGGTGTTAAATACGTTGTCATCGGTTCACTCCATAATTTGGCTAAAAAAACTATCGATCAATCACCGATGGCTCTGTGTAACTGGGGTGTTTAACCACTGATGACTAGCTATCAAACACCGATTAATCAGCGTTACGCCCGATTTAGCTCCGATTTACAAACGATAAATTTCAGCATTTTTATCACCGATCCAACCCCGTTTGCTTTGAGTTTGCTTTCTGTCACCGATGGCCGTTTACACAGAAAACCAGACATAAAATCACGCATGGCAACCGATGATAACAGTGAGTAAATTTAAAATTAAATGACCGATTGGGGACCGTCTGTGTAACTGGCCCTCTTGAATAAAATAGGAATAAAATAGGAAAATGAAAAATATATAAAAGGAAATCCCCGACTGAAGTTGCCAATATTTTAAAGATATTTGTCAAATTTGTTGGTCATCGCCAATTTAACAGTCAATCTTTTAAAGGAAAAAATGAGCATAAAGTCATATTTAGATTACTAGTGTATTTAAAAAAATCATCAATTGGGTATGACAATAGAAATCAGGGTCAGATTTCTGCAAAGACAACAATATTATTTAAAACTGCTGTAAGATAGTTTGCACAATATTATGAAAACAATTTCAACAAGAACAGTAATAATAATAATGATAATTGTAAAAGAAATTACAATAATGTTTTAGACAGTAAGAAAATAATAAAATGCAATACCTGGAGTGATTTCCATTGTCGACTCTAGATAAAATAGTTATAAATACGGCTTGTGCTTCATATGTGTTACCTATGCACCGATTAATTAGATAAGACTAGATACAAGTTTGTCTATTTTATCAAATAATGTTAAAGAGTGCATGCATGACACCAAGTACATTTTAATCAGTGTGTGATTTTCATGACTCTGTTGAGCACTATAATTCAAATTCAATATTCGGATAACTGTTTAGTGAAACTCGACAGAGCCTCGTTTATGCTTTAACCCTCGAGCTATATCTTCCGATCTATACCGGCAGGTGGTGTAATATTTTTTTTTATAAAAAGAGGAGTGCAAGGGAAAATTTTTTCTAGAATAAAGGGTGACAAAACGCCAAACATTACAAAGCATAATAATTTCGAGATCATACTGAAGAAACTTTCACCATCATGAATTTAATGTCTTGGTTACAAGTAAGATCTTTATTTAGGCAAGCAAATACGAAACGACGATGGTGAGAAGTCGGAGATAAGATGATGGAAAGTCGGAAGTACGGTGGTGAAAAGTGAAAATAACGGAACCACGATGATGAAAATTAATGTAATTTCGTGTTTTCACCATCGTACTTTCGACATTTCGTAATTTCTTTATTTAGACTCTCACCATCGTACTTTCGACATTGTGGTTTCGATTTTTCATCATCGAGGTTCAATAGCGCAGTAGTTTCGATAAAAATTATAACACATGATTTGTCTGCCTTATAGGTCTCAATTCTTCCGTTGAAGCGGTGTGATTACAATCCGACTAAAGTTCAGATCATGTAAACATAAGAAGAACTATAGAGCTTAAACATCTAGTGCAAAGTTTCTCATTGATCTAAAGTAGAGTCGCTTATGAGACAATTTGTTTTCTCAAAGATTAATTAAGGAACAATTTTAAAAATATGTTTCGTAGAAACATGAAGACAACTCGACATACTATCTCTACCAAGCATGATCGAATCATTGTCCTAGCTAGGTACAGTTTTTAGTATGAAACATAAATACATAAATACTTTATGTCGTTTTTATTTTCGTTTTTATTTAGTTAGCTACATATACCGCATGATTTCTTACAAAACATCTTTGCCCAACCAGGGAAGTCTCGACAGGCAGTTCTTAATTCGTAAGCGTCACAGTACGTCAAATTGTCAACACATGGCGCAGAATGTCCTGTATATAAAATAGAATCGTTACAACACAATCTAGAAGACTTCTATGAAAAAGTAAATAATACTGTTATAATTATGCTTAGATGAGAAGGGCGTACATACAACAGTAGTTATCTTAAAACTATCATTACATTATCCATGAATGTTTATTTTATTCTGACTCGTAGGCAGTGATAACCACCAGCTGTTCCGATGTGGTTTTTGTTCTTTTATGCTCTAAAGTTCAGTGACCGTTGGTTCGAGTCCTACATGGATCATGACAATGTTACTCCACGGGTACTGGTAAACTTCTTCCAGGAAGAGGATTCGCAAATGATACGTTTCAAGAACCCTTTTCTCAGTAGATCATGTTTTTTTTAACTAAAGTAAACATATCCTACCACAGTATCCGCACCTAAGCGAACAATGATCACGTGCCCAGGGCTCGTAAATTCCTCTACAAACAACGTCCTCATAATATTCACATCCGGGAATCTTGTCCTGGCAGCCACCTTTAACGATATGTCTCATAATTATGTGTATATCTGCGGCATATGTCGAGAACTTATAGTGCATGTACAATGTTATATATTAAAGGCGACTTATATTCTTGAGAATAGTGAATGTTTACCTAGCATTCAAAAATAATCAGGTCGGTCTGCATTTCTTCGTAAACTTGAACAGTAATATAAATAAAATGATAATTTTGTTTCTTTTTTATATAATTTCTCATAAAAATATATAAAATGATTCAAGTACGTGGTATATTGCATTTTGTCCATACTACAACTCAACTGGTCGGGGACCACCAACCGGACACTTTTTGAACATTTTTCCATACAGATTTTATTATATAAAGGCTAGAGATCTGAAAGTTTTACACAGTACAGCTAGGTTCTTCTCTGAACTAACGGACTAGTTTGTTTATTTCTGATTGTGTTGACACTTATATCTGAGGCCTGTAAAGGAGGGTATCAAATTACCTAAATGGTCCACACTATAGTACCACGTGTCCGGACAAATATGTCCATGATGCTGATTTAATTCAATAAAAGCTTTGGTACTTTATTTTTTTTTATTTTTAACATAATATAAAATATTTTTGGATATTCTATCATTTACTCTACAAATGATTATAGCTAGTATAAGTGGTCAGGTATTGCACGCTTGACGTCCAAATTTTCAATGTCAACGTTCTTGAAAAAGACATTAAAATATTAATGTTTACAAAAATTGAAATAAATTCAATTACCTAATTATAGAACAAACATGCAGTTATTGTTGATATAAAAGCGACTGATAGATCAACAACCACTGGACAAATAAAATAGCGATTTTCGGGGCCGTCCGGATTTGGTGGTTGTCCGGTTTTGGTGGTCTCCAAACAGTATGTATTTGATGTTGTGTGAGATCTAACCTTTAAGCTCGACAGCTTTATATTTGAATCATAGACGTTCTTATGTTTTCTGGGTCGATGATGCATTACGGTCCCGGTATAAAGGTCATGTTATAACAAGGGGGAGAATCACGCCGTTCGTTACCCAAACAAACAAGATGGCGGATGCAGCCAAAAAGTAGGTTTTTCCCTTTTTTCTCTGAAATTCGTGATGTTCTAATGTAAAGGTACATATAACAACCTTCTCCACAATTTTCCTTGCACACAGGATTTTATTTCATGATGTTTCGTCCCGTATTTCATCTGAAATGCGCGTCATCAGATACGAAGCGAGAGAATTTTCCACCGGTTTGATCGTGGTAACGTACGGCTTTTTCTCTCAAATTCACTGTTTCTTTTACATATATGTATATTTACTGAAACCACTGACTTTAAAAAGTTGTAATATGTTGTCAAGTAAGCAATCATGCCTATTCTGGCTAGATTTACTGCTGTAAATATTAATATCGGGGCATTTTCCGGAAATGATAACGTATGGCGCACACAATATCAATGATAACGTACGGCGCATTTTACTACTTGGTGGATTTCCATTTGTCCAATCAGCTGATAATGAATTATTTTTATGTAGGAAATGATATATATCTGGAAAAAAATGTTGGTCAGGTCAGAAATAATTAATTGAACAATGCTGCACCATCGGATATAAATATCTTTCTAGCTGGTGGCATAATAGATATTCGTTGATAATATACTAAATAAAACACACGTGTATAGTTTGAGAATATTTTGTATTAAATGCAGAATGGAAAGAAAAGCCTCCACTTTCATTAGTGTAGTGTTGTCTTCACATTAAATTTCACCAGTGTTGTGCGATAATTATGGTCTTATCCCCTTATCAGAAAGAAGAAACGCATTCAGCAGAGCAAAAATGTTAAAAAGGTACGGACGGCTTGATATATTTTCTTTTCCAAAGAAAAAGTCTTTAATCATTCTTAACAAATTTCTGAGGAAATCTTAATATTTGAACCCATCAAACATAAACAAAACGAAAAGTGATTGCGGCTAGCTTGAGATGAGCCTGTGTTTATTCAAGAAAAATACATAACAGAGAATAATGAATTACGGCCTCGCCATTTTTTAGCAGAAACATCCCTTGATGTCGCCCCAGCCAGTGTTTTATCCGCGTAACTAACTCGTTTCATGTACAATAACTATTACTAAATAAGAAATTTTCTGTTTAATTGACGGTACGCTACCATTTAGCGTGACGTTGTGCCACTATGACGTCAGATATATTTACGCGACATAGCCTTACAGGTTTTTTATTACAGTAAACAGTAGACAGTAGACATTTCATTTTATTCCAATAGGCTTTAAAGCCGATGAGGACATAAAACATGCACAATAACGAACAGTTCATATAAACATAATATCAAAAATCATAAAAAAGTTTGGAGAAGATCAATTTTGATTGATAAAGTAAATACCAGCCGAAATTTTTTTAAGTAGTTACATAATGAACATTTTCATATCAAAATTGATCTTTAAACCACTAACTTATAGGTCGTTCGTATATACATATACATACACACATATACATGTACATACATATAATAAAACATGCATTACATGAACCATTAATGCAAAATTGTTGTATATAATTCGTTTTTAATACATAAACGCAATTACCATATGTTTATACACATATCCTAAAAAATGAAGGTCCCTTCGCATCAATTGGGGATTTCATAATTGTAAATGAAAGGAACGTCATTATTTGATCAAAACAATTACATGCAAGAATTTGCCTATCATATTCTGACGTTTTTTTTTCACAAACGCCCCAACAAAAACAATAATTTCTTAAAAAAAGTATTGCAGGTATCAGCAATAAAAGAGTGACATAGGAATTTGCTTATTAAATTGTAGTGTTAAATATAAAGTTTCAAATCGGATTTGGATTTCGATGTTTTTATCCATGCCGGAAAACCCGTCTGAAACCTTTAATGCCAGACCGCCCATGCGCTTAGATAACGTCATTATCTTTATGAAAGAACGGTTTTAAAAATTATTACATTGTATTACGCTACTCTTAAACTAGTGTTTACGAAGTATATGTTAGTGTTCATCCGTGTTGTTCTACAGAAGTTAGAAACTAGAATATTTCTGTATGTTACGGTTTAGAACTTACTTTATTTCGTCACTATACCTGTCCATTTGCACAAACGCGGTTCTATGAAGCACTATGAAAATCAAAGGGCTGCAAGCTCTGTGGTATTTTCTGATCTTTGCAATCTAAATCATACTGACTATCTGTATGTATTTTCCTATATAGGTTTATTTTTATATACTATAATTCATCTTTCGCAGCGACTGCGTTAAGATTTTTTTCTATAACAGTTTGAGATTGATACATATGAAATTTTGCATGACTAGAGTTGCATCAAAAATCATTTTTTATGACAGCCGCATTTTATCCTTGCATATCGTGGCTACTTCCTTAAAAAAGACACTTCAAAAAAAGTTGCCTCGACTAGGATTTGAACCTTAATTAGGCCTCTCACACCCTAAACGAGCGCGATACCCCTGCACCACGGTGAAGTAATACGTAATATGTAGCCTGAATAAAAACAAATACATTGTAATTCTAAACTGAGAATTTCCATTTCGTGTTTGTAATCCTTATCAATTTCGAGGTATTTTGTTCACGATAAACCTGTTTAACACTGATAAAAATAATTTAGCGAAAATCTTCTCGCCAAAACAGTCCGACATGTATATAGTCCACTACTGGCAGTCAGATTTATTTGTATACTACGCCCTGGAGTATTCAGTAATCGACATAGCTAAAAATAGCATTTTCATTGATTAAAATGATATTCATCCGCGAAATTTGTGATTGTAACCTCATATTTCTATTGACTAATCTGAACTTTCAATGCACTGTAATTCGTTAAATGCCTACATTAAAAATTATTCTGTCTTTTAAATTGCTGGTTTTTAAGCAGTTTTGAGTAAGAACTACTTTGCGTTGTTAGGTCTGTTAGGAAATTTTGTGTTAGACCGTGGATGTTAGCTATGTATTTACTGATCTTGCGATCAGAAAATACAAAAAGAAGGTTGCTATGAATGGCCTTTGATATATAATCGACTTTTGTTCTTCTATGAAAATTTACACAAAGAATTTATAAGACAAAAAGCGCTTTGATTGGATGACAAATAAAGCTGGACACTTATATTATTTATTTCAGTTTCTTTACTTGGTTCTACACATCCTGTTATGTCTTGTAAACATAACTTTTCTATTATATAGAAAATCAATTAATCAGAAAAAATGCGCCGTACGTTATCATTGATATTTTGTGCGCCATACGTTATCATTTCCAGAAAATGCCCCGATATTAATATTTTCAGCGGTTATTCTAGCCAGAATGGGCATGTATGCTTAGATGACGACATATTACAACTTTTTAAGGTCAGTGGTTTCAGTAATTGACATATATGTAAACGAAACAGTGAATTTTAGAGAAAAAGCCGTACGTTACCACGATCAAACCGGTGGAAAATTTTCTCGCTTCGAATCTGGTGACGCGCATTTCAGATGAAGTACGGGACGAAACATCATAAATAAAATCCTGTGTGCCAGGAAAATTGTGGAGAAGGTTGTTATATGTACTTTTACATTAGAACATCACGAATTTCAGAGAAAAAAGGGAAACCCCTACTTTTTGGCTGCATCCGCCATCTTGTTTGTTTGGGTAACGAACGGCGTGATTCTCCCCCGTGTATAAGAACTTACTGGCATTTATGATTGCTGTTGTGTTAACATGACCAGGATTATATGTTATATCAGTCTCATTGCCACAGTCTAGTTTCGGACAACAGTCACCCGATTTCTGTCTGATCGTACATGATGGTGGCAAACTTGAGTAATGAGGGCAACTGAAAAAACAAAATCAAAGTTTTAAAAATCTTGACAGTCAATATATACACGTAATAACCAATCACATGACGTACTAAATACTCCTCATTGTAGTAATTGAAATACCACGCCATTTCTCTGTTAAGCATATAAACTTGTTTCAATACAGCAACTAACATATCTACACGTCATAATTAGAAATCGCTTCTTTCAAGCTATTGAACTGTGCATTTTTAACTTTTTGATACAGCGACACTCATATCTACACGTAATTGTCAATTACTTAAACCAAGCTCACCAACAACTTACACGTATTGACACTGTGCAGTATTTGAAATTGTTTCGATACAGCAACAATCATATCTACACGTAATTGTCAATCACATATACCAACTACTTACACGTCTTGACACTGTGCAGTATTTGAACTTGTTTCGATACAGCGACAATCATATCTACACGTGTCTTGCCAATGGTCCCCTAAGTTGAAAGTCTGATTTTTGAAAAAGCATTTACCTAGAAAAGATGATAATATGAAGCTTATTAAAGTCTATTGATGACATCTTACCAAAAGTTTTGATACAATTGAATGATCTATACAAAAAATTCATGACTTTTATTATTGACACATATAATATAGATGTAAGCGTTTATAAAAATGATTTATCTTAAGTTTTAGTTTGAAACAAATATAATTGATTTATGTATTGAATTTTATGTATAAACCTACTTAATTTGACAAATATGCTCAATATGTGTTAAAACATGCATACATGCACTATTAATATTGAACAAAACAAATTTAAGAAAATTATCTATTCAAAAATATTTTATAGAATGTTAAGTACATTCCAGATATTGAAGTCAAATAATTTTCATATATTTACCGCTGACAGGTGATTTCATTCCCTGAATATTATAACTGCTGCTACTAACGATTGCTAACCCAGGCCTCATAGATGTAGTACCGGAAGTTGATTCTATCATTTGTGGAGGACCGGAAGTTGTAGTCACAATTCGATTTAAATTAAACACTTGTAACATACATTAAACATAAATCTATTTGTTTTGACCGTATCTCTTTACAACTTAAGAAAATTAATTCGTCACTATTACAATTATTATTCTTCTTTTAATTTTCTAGTCAAAAATTAATACCCCTCACTTTTTTGTAATGTTAATTTCCCATAGGCCTCTGGGAGTTATTCTTACTGTTAATGCAAGTGTACCAGTATAAAATCTGGTCACGTGGTTTATTTTCTAAATAAAATGGCGGCCATTTTTTCTCTTATCCATTCTTATTTTCAAAGTTCACCACGAAATGGCATCACCAGAGTAACTTTATGACACCTATAAAATTTAGTCCTTTGCATCCTTCGCGTATAAAATATCTTTTTGTTTAAAAGTCAAGAAGTAAACATCCGTTTTTAACGGAAGTTAATGCAATGTGAATAATTATGTGTCAAACTTGAACATGCAGGCGATTAAAGCATGCAACATAGGATTATTTAACAATTATAACAGATATGGCGATGACATAGGGTGTCATCGTTATTTTGTAAATGCACAAAAACCATGCGAAGAGAGAATTCTAGATACAGAAGGATCAGATTTCACAGATCATAACTCTATAAATGGGTTAGTGTTTTGTTTTCTAAATAAAACACAGCTTATTGTATGTTTATGACTGGTAGATATCATCACTTGCTAAAAGAATAAAAGAAGAAAAAAAAACATCTCAAGTAGGCCTACAGTACACTTAAGACTTAAAAGTTAAGGACAGTTTAGTTATTGTTACTCTTGGTTTATTTGTGTTACAGATTTAGTTGACAATTTCAGATCATCACAGTTTTTTTGTTCGGGGTATTAAAATAAATAACACATGGGTTTGTGAGTAACAGTAAAAATATCATCTCTCGTAAAAATACTGTTACCCTCGGCTAATAACAGTATTTTCCTCGGGATGATATGTTTACTGTTACCCACAAACCCATATGTTATTTATATACTATAATAGTTAAATTTTGACATATATATTTCCGACAATAAATAAATATTGATCGATCTTACAAAAGAATATTTTGAAAATACATTTTTTGAAAAACATTTGAAAACAGCGACTAGTCAAAAACATTATTGCGCTTAATTTTCATAATTATATATGTACTGTAAGCGTATTTGACTTAGATTAAAGGCAAAGAAGGGACAATTTAAACTAGCGCAGGGAATTTTCTTAAACTTTAAGTTATTAAAGAGAATCAATATTGAAATAGATAGATAAAAAACAACAACAGTCTAAAGTCACCTTCCTAATTTTGAGTTATCTGCCTCTAAAAGTGAGTTAAAAAAAAACAACATGTTTTAGCAGATAATTCCTAGTCAAGCTTACTGCAGTACCGATACTTTATTTCAATTCATGTTATTTGTTGGTAGTTCATTTCAAGTCATATTGCAAAGTTTAAGCAATTATATCTTCATAATTTTTTAAATTTGCAATAAGAAACAATTTTTTCGTCAAAATGGGGCATTACCCGAAGAAAAATTATTCCATTTCGCATAAGTAACAGTTGAATAAACTCTTTCGTATATAATATCAGCAAATTGTGCACAATGACACCGAATAAACTAACAAACACGCATTTACATCCAAATCATGTCGTGCTCGCCACAGCTTTTGTTTTATTTATCCTTGAAAATGACATAAAAGAGTTAAAAAAATCATTTTCAGGAGCAGATATCCAAAAAAACGAGGATGATGACCCTAATTTTTCAACATCATTTGGTTTCAATTATAATTATTTTTAATCATGCATAATAAAAAAATATATATATGCTAGTTTAATTTTCCTTCTTTTCCTTTGTAAAAGAATGACTAAAATTTCCAATTCTGAGCCTTATTTATTAAAAGGCAAAAACTTCCGCATTTATCAGCACGAAAACATTGCTTTAATAGCATCTGTAATCCGTGACAATTTTAATACAATAATTATTTCTTCGCCCGTACACATTTTGCCTGTACGATTAAACTTTATCCATAATACATGTACTAACGCTAAGAAACTTTTGATAAATAATTAAAAAATAAATTTAAAAAATAAATAAAAAATAATAAAGGAATTAAAATAAATAAATTAAAGATTACCACAATAGTTACATCTTTTTGCACAGTGAGCACGTGCCCAAGGTTCATAGAGACCTATACAAGCGGGTCTTCATATTTGTCACAATCACTTATCATATCTTGACAGCTACCTTTATTAAAGGATGTAAATGTTATGTTTAAAAATTAGCAGAATATGTGATTATAGACTGACCATCATTAATTGATGATCATTTGAATATATAACACTTCTGTAATGATAAAATACACAACCAGTTTCTTTGTCTTTCTTTTAGTCATGCCAAATAACAATATACAGACTATCCACATCTATCCACATCTACTGGTAGACAGAATGACAGTAATTATGTCTGGCAAGAGTGCAGCTAGGTAGACTCGTCATCACGTTGAGACTTAATCTGTAGATTCTTTATAAAACATTTGTCTGTGATTTTATCTAAAGTTATGCAACAAATTTCTTGTTATATTACTGTAGTTTTATCCATCTAGTAGGAGTTATCAATCAAATTATACTTTGTGTTTATTTTGGGTGAATGTATAACTCATGAAAGTGACAATATGTATCATGTTAATGTAATACCTTCAGTTGTTGTTTGACTTGGATTCATTGTTGGCAGATAACCTGGAAGATATGGAAAATCACTTATAGATAATTTTATTATGGTATGGTTGTGATTTAAAGGGTCTGTAATAAACAGATGTTATATATATACAATGTATAATTATATAACGCACCACAAACTGGCCATTACACAATGTATAATTATATAACGCACCACAAACTGGCCATTACACAATGTATAATTATATAACGCACCACAAACTGGCCATTACACAATGTACAATTTATAACGCACCACAAACTGGCCATTACACAATGTATAATTATATAACGCACCAACAACTGGCCATTACACAATGTATAATAATTATATAACGCACCACAAACTGGCCATTATACAATGTATAATTATATAACGCACCACAAAACTGGCCATTATACAATGTATAATTATAACGCACCACAAACTGGCCATTATACAATGTATAATTATATATAACGCACCACAAAACTGGCCATCATACAATGTATAATTATATAACGCACCACAAACTGGCCATTATACAATGTATAATCATATAACGCACCACAAACTGGCCATCATACAATGTATAATTATATAACGCACCACAAACTGGCCATTATACAATGTATAATCATATAACACACCACATATAACACACCACAAACTGGCCATTATACAATGTATAATTATATAACACACCACAAACTGGCCATTACACAATGTACAATTATATTACGCACCACCAAAACTGCCATTATACAATGTATAATTATATAACACACCACAAACTGGCCATTATACAATGTATAATTTATATAAACACACCACAAACTGGCATCATACAATGTATAATTAATAACCGCACCCACAAACTGGCCATTATACAATGTATAATTATATAACACACCACAAACTGGCCATTACACAATGTATAATCATATAACTGCACCACAAACTGGCCATCATACAATGTATAATTATATAACGCCCACCACAAACTGGCCATTACACAATGTATAATTATATAACGATTGATATATAACGCACCACAAAACTGGCCATTATACAATGTATAATTATATAACGCACCACAAAACTGGCCATTATAACAATGTATAATTATATAACGCACCACAAACTGGCCATTATACAATGTATAATTATAACGCACCACAAACTGGCCACTATACAATGTATAACTATATAACACACCACAAACTGGCCATTATATATGTATAATTATCTCAAATGATAACGAATGATGAGATACATTTCATAAAAAAACTTTTTTTTCCGGACTTTATGTGAAAAAGTTGAGATTTACGGACAAATAAAATAGGGCGACTCCTCACGGACACCTCTTTGAAAGAATCCCACCAAAGTCCTGCCGAAACGACATTTATTACAAGAAAAAAAAATTAAATAATCGTTTTTTAAAATTTTAAAGTTTTTCAACACAGCTTTGGTGTGATTTTAAAAATTTTAGTGCCACTATCCGACAATGACAACCCTACTTTTCCCTGTTATTTAAATTTTAAAAATTTTGGGGCACGAATTTTAGCTAAGAGCATGGAAAATTAAGAAAAAATTTCTTAAGGGATTTTTAGTCGTAACGAAGTCAATAGGGTTTTGAATCGATCTACGTATTTAAAATCATTTTCATAAAAAAACCAAATTTATTTTTAAAAGGAATTTTTAACATTTTTAAAGAATGAAACCTTTCCATTTTTATAAAAAAAGTGAAGCTTATTTTTCATGTCAAATGTTTTACAAGTCAGTATTTAAGTAGTATGTAGTACAAAAGGGGGGTCAAATTGTGGAAATACGATTGTTGCATTTACGGGTTTTTCCGTGTATTATTACTTTTAAAAACGGAAAAAACAAAAATTAAATTAAAACACCCAAAGGGCCCCCTTTTTTTCAAAAAAAACAAACAAACATTTTTCAATTTTAAAAAATTTAAATTCTTATCTTGAGAAAAACCACTAGGTTTCTATTACAATGATTTTTGGGGCAACATTTTCCCACAAAAGTGAAACTTTCTTTTCCAACTAACTTCAAGGGAACCGGTTACCCCATTTTGTACATCACGAGATAAAGGGAAAACTCAACTGAGAACAAAAAAAGAAAAATTTATTTTCAAATTTTAACATTATCTTTTTCCTTTAATATTTTAAAAATTCGCCATACTAATGCCGAATGTTCTAGATTTTAACAGTATATATTATGAAGATAGTTGACGAACATGTGATGCAAACGAGAACAATGTATATATTTACCGAATTGTCAAGACATCCCATCTCAAACGTGATACCATGACCTACATTAGATTTCTCTACATAACAAGACTGAAAATACATGAAACATATCTACGTTAGTGTGTTGTTCACTTGGTAATTTTTTTATTGTTTTATTCTGGAATAATCTTTTGAAGAAATGTTATATTTAGATATGAACATACATATTATACAATTTAGCAATTATAAATTTATGAAATAATGCAAGGAAAGGT